CTAGCCTGCACATCCCTGGTCACTATGGGTAATTTAGCACGGCCAATCCACCCTAACCTGCACATCCCTGGTCACTATGGGTAATTTACCACGACTGACGCACCCTCGCCTGCACATCCCTGGTCACTATGGGTAATTTACCATGGCTAACACACCTAGCCTGCACATCCCTGAACACTATGGGGTAATTTAGCACGGCCAATCCACCCTAACCTGCACATCTTTGGACTGTGGGAGGAAACCAGAGCACCCGGAGGAAACCCACGCAGACACGGGGAGAATGTGCAAACTCCACACAGTCGCCCGAGGGTGGTTCTGTGAGGCAGTGGTGCTAACCACCGAGCCTCCTTAGAGGGTGGTGAATCATTGGGATCCTCTACCCCGGATGGCAGCAGAAGCTCAGAGTTCGAGCACGTTTGCAAGTTGATCAATTTTGGATTACAGATGGTGCGCAGGGTTCTGGGGGATAGGGCAGGTAACAGACACTGGAGCATCCGATCTGGTGCGATTGTGTTGAAAGCCGGAAGGCTGAGTTGCTGCCCTCCTTGTCCTCAGTCCACGTCTCAGTGCCCTCTGCCCATGCAAACCCCGCTTCTCCCTCCCTGGGGGTTTTCTTCCCATCACCTTGTCCTTCAGCTCTCTTCAGGACAAAGCAGTCGGATCTAAACTTCCAAGACGCTCTGTCTACCTACGCTTAGCTCCCAACGACATAGCCATCACCTTCCGTCCTTCTGCCCGCCTAGCCAGTTCTGAGCATCCTCTGCCCACATGCCCGTCTCGCTCTGACGGGGCCTCCGGACAGGCCCTCCATGGTTAATCTAACCCACGTGGCTTTCGTTTCCCATTGAGTCAAGCTACTTTCCGAATTTGACGACGACCTCCACCTCTCTGCTTCGATTCCCGAGCTTCCCACCCGTTGGGAGGCGGGAATGACGGCCCTGGCCCTCGCCGACGTCCAACATTGAGAAAGTCACGGACAGGGAATAAGAAAAACGCCTTTCCCCAGAGAATAACTACCTGCTGCCATAAGTTTTTGAGACACATGGCTCACTTGAAGGGGAGTCTGCCAACAGGCAGAGAAATAGCAGGTTATGTGGCGAGGGGGAGAGAGTATGGCGAGGCAAGGCCGAAGGGTTTGGGGAGAAAGCAGGGACAGGGTATCCGGTCGGATGGTCAGCCATGATCATACCCAATGGCGGAGCAGGCTCAAAAGGGCTGAATGGCCTGCGCGTATTTCCTCCGTTTCGCTCCCACACGGACTGGGAAACAACGTGGGTCCCGAAGCATCGTCGGGGACCCTTGCACTCCGTGGCCTGTGTTTTCAGAGCTGGGAGCGTGAGGGCAAGGCACCACTCATAGTGCGGGAGACAACACAAGGCTTTGGGAACCGGGTGGCAAACAAAAGGTGGACAGTGGGAGGATGTGGACAGCTTTGCAGAGTAGGCAGAGGTACGACGGATGAAACTATCACAAAGGGCGAAGTGATTCAGTCTGGTGAGAGAAACACTGAGACAAGTCTAAAGCAAGCAAACATGCACAAATCACTGAAGGGGCAGGCTAGATCCAGAGGGCAGTTCATGAAGGAAGCAACATTCTGGGCTTTACAGGGTAAAACATCAGCAAGGTTCTGTCAGGCACAAAGTGCTGAGAAATAAAAAACTCAGCAAATCTGCCAGCATCGGTGAAGAGAAAAGGTAACAGGGCATTGGTGAGGCCTCTTCTGGAGCACTGTGTCCAGTTCTGGTCCCTGTTATTGGAAGGATGTCATTAAGCTCGAGAGGGTTCAGAAGAGATTTACCAGGAAAACAGGGTTTGAGTTTTCAGAGGAGGCTGGGGGCTATTTTCTCTGGAGTGTCGGAGGCTGAAGAGTGACCCTACCCGAAACGTCAGCTTTCCTGCTCCTCTGATGCTGCTTGGCCTGCTGTGTTCATCCAGCTCTACACCTTGTTATCTCAGATTCTCCAGCATCTGCAGTTCCTACTATCTCTGGGACTAGTTTAGTTTGGGATTATGGTCGGCATGGACTGGATGGACCGAAGGGTCTGTTTCCATGCCGTATGACTCTAAAAAATGTTTCAAGTACAACAGATACTCAAAGACAAAGACAGGAGCCAAAATATTAACTGTTCGTCTCTTCATGGATGTTGTCAGACCTACTGTGTTTCCAACAGTGGCTTTTAACTCAGATCTCCAGCATTTTTGCTTTTATCGAAGGGGTTATGACAGAGCTGATAAAATACCGGCTTCGGTATCACCAGAATACTGCCGCGAGGAAATTCGGAAAGTGGATGGATCGTTGTGGCTAATTACGAGAAAAACCGATAGAAAATCAGAGAGGGTACACTTCAGTCATCCAGGGCAAGTGGAAAGCGCACATCTGGGATACTGCGTACTCAGGAACGTCTACAGTGCGTCGAGAGGCCATTCAGCCCATCGAGACCAGCCCCACACCCTGTCCCTGCATTTCCCATGGCTAACCTACTTTGCCTGCACTTCCCTGGAGACTACGGGGCAATTTAGCCTGGCCAATCCACCGAACCTGCACACTGTGTGGGACTGTGGGAGGAAACGCAGGCAGACACGGGGAGAACGTGAACGGAAGCTGGCTCCCTGGCACTGTGAGGGACCAGTGCTAACCATTGAGCCACCGAGAGGTCTCCTGTACGCAGGATGTGGCTCAGAGACGGCTTATTCAATGAATACCTGTAGTGAGATGGTCGTCTTTTTTTGGGGGTGTTGGTGGGGTGGGTGGTGTCTCAACAGGCTGGAAGTGGGGAGGAATCTAGAACGAGGCAGTCACTGTTTAAAAATAAGAGGTCACCTGTTTAAGACAGAGATGCAGCGAACTTCTCTCAGCACGTCCAGGTTTCCCCAAATTCACCCAGTCCCACTTGCTGGAGTTCACCCCATTCCCTGAGAAACCTTTCCTGTCCCCGTACCTGTCCAAATGTCTTTAAGTGCTGCAGCTGTACCTACATCTACCATTTCCTCTGACAGCTGTTCCACACACGAACCACCTTCTGTGTGTAAAAGCTGCCCATCAGGTCCCTTCTAAATCTTGCCCCTCTTGCCTTTAAAAATATGTCCCCGTCGTTTCGATCTCCCCCACTCGAGGAAAAGAGCCTTTGGGATTTACTTTAACCATGCCCCTCATGACTTTATAAATCTCTATAAAGTCACCCTTCCTATGCTCCAGTGAAGAAAGTCCCAGCCTATTCAGCCTCTCCTTATAACTCAAGCTCTCCAGTCCCGGCAACATCTTGGTAAATCTCTTCTGCACCCTTTCCGAGTTAATAACATCCTCCCGAAAGCAGGGCGGCCAGGACTGGACACGGTACAGCTTCCTGAAAACGCAGCGCGGGCTCAAAGGATTTACTCCTGCTTCTAACTCCCAACTTCTTCCGACGGAGGAAGGATGCAGAGAACAGCTCTAGGGATGACAGGCTCTAAGAACATGGTTTGGACGCACTGGGGTCTCCCTCTCTCAGATTTACATCAGCAACAAGAGGAGAATTTCATGTTTTTACAAATTGCAACGAGTGGTTCGGGTCCTGGAAGGTGCTGCCTCAGGGCGCGACGGGAGGGAGGGTCGATCGAAAGGGAACATTTTGGTGGGGAAGGATTCGCAGGGGCTCAGACGGGGAGGGCCCCTCCTGCAGCTATCAGCGGCCTTGAAGGGCAGCCCGCATAAGCAATTTCTTGCAAGCA